TAGAGTTAGATCTGTGTGCAATGCTAGGCAATATGTTTGCAGATCTGTCTACCTGCCAGCTTGCATCATATCTGTGTGTCTGTCTTTTTTGTATATATTTCGTCTCTCTTTCTCTATCCCTTTTGCCACCAGATCTCCCTTCTTCGTGACACCCACACTTCCTTGTCTAGGCTGGACCCCAATAGCATGACAACTGAAAAGTCCTATTAGCCAATAGGATCACATCCTTAAGTACAGGGGACAGGACTGCAATACAATTGGGGGTGGGGTGGGGGTGGGGAATTGCACAATTCAATGGCTAATAGGCTCCTTATCCTGTCTTCTGGAGTCCTGGAGTGGCGCTGCAGGATAAGCACTAGATCTCAAGGTCAGTTTAACAAAAAAAGTCAAGGGTTCAAACTTACTTCAGAAACCTGATAACAGGGTCGCTATGAACCGGAACAGACTCCGTGGAACTTAACAGCAACAACAAGAAGTCCTATCTTCTATGAGACAGTCCATTCTCCTAAGCATCCTCCATAAGACTTGTTGGGAGCTGACTTCTGCCTATTTGCCCAGACTTACATGTGGTGTCTTCCATTTGGTATTCTAGGTGAATGCAAACACTTCCTTCATTTCCAGGCCTGACACAGTCTGATCTGCCTCTGCCTTAGTCATCTCATCTTTGAACCCTTTTTCTCTTGACCACCTCTCCTTGCTTGTCCTTCAGACTTAGCTCATCAGTTCCATTGGGTAGGCTTCCCGGATTCAGCCTCATTGGTGACCTCATTCCATCATTTGCTTTCCTTTAGTATAGTGCTTCCTGACATTTCTGCTCATGTGGAAGATGTATCATCCTCAACTCCTACTAAAGTGTATTAACCCCTCACATGATCTTGCTTCTATTATAAATCTTAAAGAGAGAAACCAGAATTAGAAACTGAACTAAGGAATCAAGTTTTTCATCTGGATGTGGTCAAACCCAGCTATTCAGAATATAAGCATATAGATGAGTTATACACATACCCCAGTTTTACCAACAAAAATAAAAAGTGACAGTCTTCATAGCTCATGAGAGTATTTGTTTATTCTTCTAACATTTAGATTCAACTGTATTATTATCTCGGACCCACTTTGTAGTATATGAATCACTATATATTTTTTTAACTGTGTGAATATTCAGGGCATATCTCACCCTACAAGATCTGTATATACAGTTGTTGTTAAGTGCCACTGAGTCGATTCCAACCCATAGCGACCCTGTATAGGGTTTCCAAGGAGTGGCTGGTGAGCTTGAACCACTGACCTTGTGGTTCAAACCAACTCTGCAGTCTAGTGCATTAACCCACGGCGCCACACCAGGACTCCTGTATGTGAACAATCTATTATGTTTGCTGCTTAAAATTTTAATCAAAGAACTACTTAAAAATTTTAATCAAAGAACATTTCTTTGAAAATTATTGTTGTTATTGTTAAGTGCTGTATTGTTGGTTTTGACTCATAGTGACTTTACATAGGGTTTCCGAGGAACAGCTGGTGGGTTTGCACTGTTGACTTCATGGTTCCCAGTTCAGTCCTAACCCTACTGTGCCACACCAGGAGTGGTGAATATAATATTAGTCTATATTTAATGTCGTCTCTCTCTCTTCCCCATTGCTGGGCCCCTCAAGGGCAGGGTCTTCAACTTTATTCATTGTTGTAATTTCCAAAGTCTACACAGTGACTGGCATATAGTAGATGTCAGCTGTTGTTTTTAAGTGCTGTCAAGTCCATTCTAACTCATAGAGACTCTGGATAGGATTTCCTAAGATCAGCTGGTGGATTCGAACCTTCAACCTTGTGATTCAAATGACCTTGCAGTCCAGTGCATTATCCTGCAGTACCACACCAGCACTCTAGATGTCAGCTAGTGTTGGTTAAAGAGTTTGCCTTCCAGGATTGCTGGCTATATGAGGTTCTCTAATACCAGTAGAAACCGAGTTTGAGAAAGCAAACAAAAGGTGGTTGTAATTTGTACTTCTTTTGAATCATTAATGCAGCTCCTTGATGCTTCAGCAAGAGAAAGAAAGTATATTGGTTTTTTTTTTTTTTTTCTTTCCCTTTTGCTTAAAAATTATCCATCCCTATATTTTTCCTTCAAAAAGACTACATAATTTCAAACTGTCTAAATAAAGTAGTATATAAGTCTTACCTCAAAACTCACAGCTCCATTGTGGTCCGTATCAAAGGCATTGAACAGAAAATGTGCGTATGTTGTAGAGTCTGAAACAGTATAAAGGGAAGATCATTAAGGTGTTGTTGTTGTTGGGTGCCATCCAGTCAGTCCAGGCTCATAGCGACCCTGTATAGGGTTTCTGAGGAGCAGCTGGAGAGCTTGAACTGCCAACCTTGCGATTCAAACCCACCTTGCAGTCCAGCGTATTAACCCTCTCAGGAGAACACACAGAGGCCATTTTTGATTCATTTATATGACAACAATCAGGTAGAATATGTGTTTGTTATCATATAAATGAGCCAAAAAGGCCTCTGTGTTTTGGTCTCAGGTTATTTCTTCATAACAGTCTGCAGCCTCTAAGCCCCAAAGCTCTCCAGTGCCAAACTCAAATTTTTATATATACATTTACTTTAAAAATAGCTCAAAGAAGGCGATGTCTAGCCATTTAGAGTTTGCTTGCATTTTATTCCCTGTGAAACTGCACCCAATATCTGTGAGCCTCAGAGAAGATAAGCCTTCCAGTTATAAAGACCTTGAGCTACTGCTGACCCAGAGTCTCTCCACCTTGCTGCTAAGGACAGTTGCTAGGCATGTCAGTAAGCTCTCCACACATCTTCTCTCTCTCTCTTTTTTTTGGATTTTTAAATGTTTTATTGTGGATTATGTGATAGTTTACATGGGAGAACATTAATTAGCTTTACATTCATGCTATCATATATCGATTCATTGCCATGGTTACAATCCCCTTCATGCATCATCAACCAACCAACCAACCCTGCAAGCCTGCCCCCCAGTCGTCAGCACACAGCTCCTCTCCCTTTCTGGGTTTAAGTCCCCAGCCACTCCATCTCTCCACGTCATCCTCTCTGGCCTCAGTGCTTCTCTGGGTAGGGTCCTGCTCTCTGCTTTTCTCCATTGCTGGTCCCAGGGACCTCCAGTCCTAGACTGCAAAGTCAATTACTCCCCTCCTTTTGCTACAAAACCTTTATATTTCCAACACTTTTTATTTCCAACCCTCACAAGCAGTCCTGATAACAATGATTCACTATCGTATCACCAGAGACATATCCACATCTCCTTTCATCAGCCCTGCCTAGACAGATTGGATACTACTTACTCAGTGGAGATTCTACCTTCCTCCGTGCCCTCTGGATCTAGGCTCCCTCTTGAAAACTTGTAAGCCAGTCACTTCTTGCCTTTGTAGCCCCCCCACATTTTGGGTAGCCAATGTCCAAGTTGCCCATCCCTGTCTACTCTGTGTATTAAGAGGATGGGAATGATCCTCGCTGTAAAGATTTCTTCCCCCTTTTGAGCTACTGCATCCATAGGCATAGGTCAAGTTCATCAGATTGTATCAGAATACTCTTTTTTTTCCCCCTCTTCTTTCTTCTTCTACTTGAGCTCTAATCATCTAGTCATTGAAGCCAGCTCAAGTGGGTATTATCTGCAATTGTGGGTGTTCTTGTACATATGCCCTCTCTTCTTATCAGCTGGATGCTTCACTCCTAGAAATCTCTTACCCTCTTCAGTGTAGTTTAATGCTTTGCTATTGTTAGTACTTTCGTTATGAATAGACTTTTATTGTTTTTACAACTCAGATGATGATGTTGGAATACAGAGATTGAGAAAGTTGGTTAATGTTACAAAATCAATAATGAGTAGAAATAGAACATGAACTCAAGACTTTCTAACTCTGAACACCCTTGTAGTTCACAGCCAGTAAACTTGCCTGGCAGAATGGGGATACTGATGACAGGAAAAGTTCCTGTGCCATTTAGTCAGCGGATTTGGTTGCAGTAAGAAACCACTGTCAGGTGGCATTTGAGGCTGTGAGTATTGGTATGAAGTTTGGATGGCTGTTTGTCCTGCCTAATGATACTTGGATCCACCGTCAACACTCATGGAAGCAGGAGTCAAGAAATCAAATAACGTATTGCATTAGGCAAATCGGCTGCACAAAACCTTTTTAAGGTGTTGAAGAGCTAAGAGGTCAGTTTGAGGACTAAAGTGCACCTGACCCAAATCTTAGTATTTTCAATAACCTCATATACTTGTGAAAGTTAGCCAATGAATAAGGAAGACTGTGGAAGATTGGTGCAGTTCAGGTATGGTGTTGGAGAAGAATACTAAAGGTACCATGGACTACCAGAAGAACAAGAAAATCTGTGTTGGAAGAGGTAAAACCAGAATGCTCCTTAGAAGCCAACATGGTCAGACTTCATCTCTCATACTTTGGACATATTATCAGGAGGGACCACTCCCTGGAGGAGGACATCATGCTTGCTAAAGTGAAGGGACAGCAAAATAGGGAGACCCCAATGAGATGGAATGGCACAGTGGCAAGAGCAATGGACTCAAGTGTAGCAACAATTGTGAGGATGGCACAGGACCCGGAAGTGACTGTTCTGTCGTGCATAGGACTGTTAGAGGTTGGAACTGACTTGATGGCACCTAACAACAACATGTGGTGCTGTGGGTTAATGTGCCAGACTGCAAAGCCATTTGAAATGCAAGGTTGGCAGTTCAAGCTTACTGGTTGCTCCTTAGAAACCCTGTACAGGGTCACTATGGGTCGGAATTGACTCGACGGCACTTGACAACAACACCAACAACAAATGACATCGAAGACCTCTGAAACCTTTTGCTTAGTTTCTAACAGGGTTTATCCTCTCATTTTTCCCTCCTTCCTATTCTGCTTTCTCTTCTTTGCTCTTTCAATCTGTGAACTTTCTTTTTATTTCA